TAGCTTTTCCTTTTTGTTTAAATAAAGCTATACTTTTTATTACTTAAACTTTTGAAAATTATTTGTGTGAATGCTCAATTCCATTTAGAACTGTCCTATTTCAATTTAGTTTTGGTTGGGTACTAATATTTGTTAAACAAATATCACTCAGTTTTGCACCTCAGAAATGAACCAGAGAGGTTACCACTAATTTATCTGGATACTTTTAAAATCTCTTCTTAGACCAGTGTTGATCAGTAATTTTATAACTACTTTACATGGACAAGGCTCCACTTCTCAAAGTGGGTGGGTGAAAAGGATCAAACTGGCAATCGGAGGGCAGGAGGCGAATTCAAGACAGTGTGGGTAGGGTAGGGCTGCAGGAAGACCCCACAAGCCAGGTCTCTGAATAATAAGAAAGAGGAGGAGTCTTAATTCGTAAGATTATTTCTCCACAATTTCAGTACCCCATGCAGGAAAAAAATCCTCTATTTTTGATAGTTATATTTACTTCTAGTAATGGTTTCAAAATAATCTTTGATAGTACTGCACAAACTTACAAAGCTCTATATAATCACAGCATGGTCATGTAAAACAGTGAGAAGAAAAAGTATTATTAAAATACTAGATATGCTGACTTCATGATTTCAAAAGAGTTTGGATTCTTCTGATCCTACTGAAGCCAATGTGAACTGTCGGTATTCAGGGCCTTTGAACATCAGGCCATCTATTCAAAATTGGATCAAAAATAATTCCTACCACCCAAGGGGAGACTTTTGTCAGGAAGAGGATAATCATAATTCAGACTTCTGGACTGCTGGCTTCTCTTTTCTAGACCAGGATATGTTTTTTATTCTTCTGTAATTCTCTTCGTGAAGTGCTAAATTTTGAGTAGGAGAAATGAAAGAGACGATGTTTGAGGCTAATGCTCTTTAACCTGCAAAGTACAGGTAAGTCTTTACTAGCTTTCTTCAGCAAAAGTAAGTTTAAATTCTTCTTTTTAAACAAAAATAAATGAAAAAATAATTAGCGGTTAGCCTCACACTCATGAAAAATTCTACTGCCAAAATATCATATGTGTACATGTGCGTACACGTTTTCTGGCAAAACTCAAATGGAAGAAGGGAGTTTACGGCATGTGGAAAAAGGGACAGGCCACTTGGGAGGAACATGGGAACATTGTCAGGCTATGCAGGGATGCAGTGAGGAAGGCTAAGGTCCACTTGGAATTAAATCTGGCAAGAGATGTCAAGGACAACCAGAAGGGCTTCTTCAAGTACACTAGTAGCAAAAGGAAGACTAGGGAAAATGTGGGCCCACTGCTGAATGAGGCGGGTGCCCTGGTGACAGAGGATACAGAAAAGATGGAGTTACTGAATGCCTTCTTTGCTTCAGTCTTTACTGCTAAGGCCAGCCTGCAGGAATCCCAGACCCTGGAGGTGGGAAAGAAAGTCCGGAGAAAAGAAGACTTTCCCTTGGTTGGGGAGGATCAGGTTAGAGATCATTTAGGTGAACTTGGCCCCAATGGGAGACACCCATGAGTGCTGAGGGAGCTAGCAGATGTTACTGTTAGGCCACTCTCCATCATCTTTGAAAGGTCCTGGAGAACAGGAGAGGTGCCTGAGGACTGGAGGAAAGCCAGTGTCACTCCA